CTTCTAACATGGTGCACTTGACCGTGATCTCACTGTTTCTTTCCCCCCACTTTAGTCCTTACAGTGAGGTCCGCGTTACCCCACTCTCCGTCTTAGCCTATCGTGTGAAGGGAACCTAAACACTCAGCGACACGACCCCCCGCCTTCTTCACCAAGGGTCCTGCCAACGAAGTTGCCCCTTCTTGCTTCTGACCTTGTCTCCCTCATACTTGTCTCCCTCAGCTTTGTCCATGGCACGCTTTGCCTCCTTCGAGGTCTTGTGCAGACGTAGTTCCGCATCAAGTTCTCCTGCCTTTTCTAGGAGCCTGCTCATGACCATGAACTCCAGCTGCTCAAACTGAACGTCAACGCGATGCCTTTCATTGAAGTCATCAAAGCGCTCGTTCGTGAGGTCATCAGCTTCCTGGTTTTGCCAGCGTGGAACCCATTGCAAATCGAGCTCAATCCCTCGGCGGTCTAGCTGCGTTGCAAGTTCCATCGCCACAATGCTGAGAGGATAACGGCTGCTGGCAAACTTCTTCAACACGTGAGTATTTCCCAGGTTGTCTGTTAGGGCCGACAGAGTGACCGTTGAGTCACCTTTTGCCCACTTCGCCTCAGGCGCGAGCACCATCACGGCCGCCAACACCCCAATGAGCTCCAGTGTGGCAATTGAGCGAAAAGGGTCGCCCTTCAAATACGCCCACGCGGCGTTTCGGCGATTGAGCTTGAAAGAGAACCAGCGTGCTTGCGACAATGGCGTCCCGTTCCAAAACTCCCAGCCGCCGATAACAATCTCTTCTCCGGCAGCCTTAGCATCGACACGAAAGATGTCGGTCAGGCTGGCCAGCAAAGGTTCAAGGCCCCTGACCGGCTTCCGTGCAACCTCTTCCCGCACGAACTCGAGCAAGATGATTACTGCGTCAGGGAACTTGGCGAAGGTACCCCCCGCCAGCGACGAGGACCAGGCGAACAGGGGCGCCAAGAAAGGCCTGACCTGCCGCAGTGCGCCCGCCACGAACGACAGCCTGCCAAGAACCGACTTCAGCTCTCGCCCTAGCACACCGCCCTGCTGCAACTTGCTGTCAACCCAATTCAGGATCCAAGACCTCTTCGACTCATTGATGCCTCTGGCGAAATTTGCCACGTCCAGGTGATAGCCAATCCAGTCGACCTCAGCCCCACCACGGACCTTCTTCCACGTGATGGGTATCTCCAAGAGCTCGTAGAGGAAGAGCCACATAAGTATCTTCCTCCAGAATCTCGCCCCGGTCGCCGTCAGCCACCCGTCATCGGCGTAGATCAGGTGCAGGAGACCCATATGTCTCCCCATGAGGCGATGGCAGCAGCGAACCACCACCCCAATGACCCGACCGAACCAATATGCAGCGCTTGCAATGCCAAAGGTCCCTCGCGTGTGCACATAGATGTCGCCCGAAGACTCCCCCGGCATGCGAAAAGCCTGGAAGCCCCAGTCCTCTTCTTGCACCGGGATCAGCTTGTGCGCGCGAGCGATGTCGTAGAGGACGGAGAACCTAACGACTCCCCCGCCCTCGTCCTTCTCCAGCGCTACCTGCCGAAGAATAGCTGCAGCGTCGTCAATCAATGGGAACCTCATGCGATCCCTGACCCGAATCCTCCTGTTCACGTCAACGCTGTAGGTCCCATCGTGTATCAAGCGAACCCTCGTAGTGCCCAGCTCTTTGGGTACAGCCCCAAGCGCCGCCACTGCGAGCCTGCCCTTGTACTTCTTCTTGGCCTCCTCTTCTGTCATCCTCAGGACGGTGCCATTCGCAACCTCTTCCATCACTTGACGTGCAATGTCGACAGAGCTCTCCTCCGCCGACTCATAGTTCTCTGCCAGTGTATCCTGGAAATCCTCCTCCGTAGGATCAACGGTCCACTTGACCTTCTCCTCGTAGACCCTCGGCGTCCGGGGCATATACTACGCCCAAAGGCACCCCCTTTTCGGCCACTGCATCCAGGAAATCCGAGTCCTCGTCCTCCAGGACCCGTGCCACTGCCATGAGCCTTCTGAAGTTGATCTCTGTATTTCTATCTTTCGGTCTTCGATCGGGACGCTCGCCGCGCTCCCTCAGCCACAGGTCCAGCCTCTCCCTGAAGCCAAAGATCTCACCTCCGAAGGGCGTGCCGCCGCTCCGACCCGCTGCAGCCTGCCAGAACAACTTCTTAGCTTTCTCCTCGCCCTCCAGCTCTATCCAGTCTTCAAAGGCCCTGAAACACCAGCGAGCCAGCTCCTTGCCGTCTTCGGTGGAAGGAGCCGTTCTCCTGCCGACCGGCCAACGACCCGGCGAGCAAAGGCCCGCACCATCGTGTATCGACCTCAGTTCTCCCTTGTACTTCACCTGCATCGGGGGGCCCAGGCCGGGCCGGCCCCCTGCTCCTCCACTGCTCGAGCCTGCACCCTTGCCCAGTGTTGCTTTGCCACTGCACAATGTTGCTTTGTTGTCCAGCAATGTTTCGACCACAGATGCATTGCCTGTACTGTTGCTCAATGTTGCATTGTTGCTCAATGTTGCACTGTTGCTCAACGCTGCACCGCCACCAACTGCCTTGCTCGACTTGCTCAATGTTGCACTGTTGCTCAATGTTGCCTTGTTGTCCAATGTTGCACCACCAACAGCGACGGCCCTCCTCTTCTGCGGCTCGGCGAACGAATCGGCATCTCTCTTCACCGCTCCCCCCTCTTTAGATGAAGAGGGATGCGAGGAGAGGTCATGCAGAATGGCCTTGGCAATGGCTCGGTCCATCAACTCAGGGTAAATGGAGGTAGCCGTAGTGCGAAAGGAGTCATCGTCAGGCGCTCGGGCCAGACTGACTGTAGGCTGGCAGCTGCATAAATTCTTGGCAGGACCCTGATATTGCCCATCAGAGTCGAAAGAAGGCCAGGACAATGGCCCCCATGTGCGAAGAGTGCTCAAATTGGTGAGCAATCGAGTAGGCTTTCGATAGGGTGCCTTCCAACAGCATTGATTGAAGGCGACTGTGAAGAGCTTCATGGCATTCGACGTGTGTGCACACTGTCGCAGTTCGGGCAACTGCCAAATAGAAGCAGGAATCATCTTCATGCCATCCTCTTCTCGCCAGATAGCCCCGAGATCCTCGGGATGCTCGCCGAAGACCAGGACCAAGCTTCCATCTGCAGCATGCGGGTGTTGTTCCAGGGCTTGCAAAACCTCGATCATGAATCAAATCAGGATGTTCCCCAGTTCTGCGTCCTTTTGATGACGCTTGGACAACCATGGAAAACCCCAGGGATGTTCCCTGGAGCGCACGGGGGGCGGCCCCCTGCAGTTCGCTCCCCTCACTCGACTCCATGTAGAGCAGGGTGGTGTGATCAACACGACGTGATAGTGCCCGCTTGCCAGCTCGTCCAACAACCTCTTCTGAAGAGACCTGTCAGCTAGGTCCCACTCTGGAGAATTCTGAATGTCTATCTCATGCAACTCGAATTGAATGCCGGCCCCTGTCTCCTGCTCCTGTAGGAATGAAGCCACTGAAGCTTTACGCTGCGCTCCACTGAACAGGCACAGGACCCGGCACTGACGTAGGCCTCTCGTTGTGACCTTTGCTGCCGACGGGGCTGAGGCTGACCCTCCGGCTCTGCGCTTCAAGCGGATTTGGTTGTCTCGGCTGCTGCTCCAGCCGTGTCCTTCTTGCCCGACCCATCACAAGCATGGGCTGGGTGACTGCCGAAGCAGATCTGGCATACATGGAGGCGCCCACATTGAAACCGACAACGCTCTCTGGGACTATTCCACTTCCAACAGATCTGCCTCCCATCGGGTGTGCGATCATTCATCCGGCCCTTCTTTCCCTTTCCTTTGCCCTTGCCCTTCTTGCCCTTGCCTTTGGGTGTCTCATAGTAGTCGGGCTGCCATGTGCTCTTGCCATGCGGGCTTCTGGACCTCGGATGCTCTGATCGCGCTGAGCTCGAGGGGTTTGCCACCTGCGAGTAGACGTTGGGCGTCAAGAAGTAGCGCTCCTTGATGGTGGTGTCCGTCATTGCCTCCTTCAATGCCTCTGCCAGGACTGCCCCCTCGTTCACGAGCTTCACCATCTGGCGACGAATTTGGAAGTCATAGGAGAGGACAAGATCGAACTCCGGCGATGCCACCACCTCTCCATCCTTCCCTTTGGCCTTGAGGCCTAGGACATGATCACCCAACAACAAGTCCAAATACTTGAGGAAGTGTTGAGGTTGAAGATCTCGCAAGCAAGCCTTCTGTGGATACTTCAATTGTGCCAGCAGGTACGAATTCGCTACCACTGCCATCCTCTTGCGGAATTCTTCTGGGTTCCGGGGCTTTTGGCATTCCCCGAAACCCTTCTTGATCTTGAGCGTGCCTGTCCCCCGTTCCACGGTGGCGCCCAAGACATCTGCCTCTGCATCCTCCCTGCTGAGGAACTGCACAAGGCTCATATTCTTCAACTCGCCCTGCTCGATCTGGTCGAAGATCTGTTCAAGGGTCGATGCTGCTGGTGTGTTGCGATCCTTCAGCTTGACATTGTGGACTGTTTGAAACTTGACCATGAGCTCTTGGATCTCCACCTTGTTCAATGCCCTAGGGACGCTAGCGACCCCTGCTTCTGCTTCCGCCTTGTTGCGGACCGCCACCCTGGTGCTCGCTGACTCCCAGGTGTCTACCAGCGCCGCGATCTCCACCACGTCGCGCGCCGCGTCCAAGTTCAGGACGTCTGCGCAAAATGTC